CAGTGTTTCTGCCGCTCAGTGTTTCTGCCCCTCAGTGTTTCTGCCCCTCAGTGTTTCTGCCGCTCAGTGTTTCTGCCGCTCAGTGTTTCTGCCGCTCAGTGTTTCTGCCGCTCAGTGTTTCTGCCGGTCAGTGTTTCTGCCTCTCAGTGTTTCTGCCACTCAGTGTTTCTGCCCCTCAGTGTTTCTGCCCCTCAGTGTTTCTGCCCCTCAGTGTTTCTGCCCCTCAGTGTTTCTGCCGGTCAGTGTTTCTGCCTCTCAGTGTTTCTGCCGCTCAGTGTTTCTGCCACTCAGTGTTTCTGCCCCTCAGTGTTTCTGCCTCTCAGTGTTTCTGCCACTCAGTGTTTCTGCCGGTCAGTGTTGCTGCTTCTCAGTGTTTCTGCCACTCAGTGTTTCTGCCCCTCAGTGTTTCTGCCCCTCAGTGTTTCTGCCCCTCAGTGTTTCTGCCGGTCAGTGTTTCTGCCTCTCAGTGTTTCTGCCGCTCAGTGTTTCTGCCGCTCAGTGTTTCTGCCGCTCAGTGTTTCTGCCGCTCAGTGTTTCCGCCGCTCAGTGTTTCCGCCGCTCATTGTTTCTGCCCCTCAGTGTTTCTGCCCCTCAGTGTTTCTGCCGCTCAGTGTTTCTGCCCCTCAGTGTTTCTGCCGCTCAGTGTTTCCGCCGCTCAGTGTTTCCGCCGCTCATTGTTTCTGCCCCTCAGTGTTTCTGCCCCTCAGTGTTTCTGCCCCTCAGTGTTTCTGCCGGTCAGTGTTTCTGCCTCTCAGTGTTTCTGCCGCTCAGTGTTTCTGCCCCTCAGTGTTTCTGCCCCTCAGTGTTTCTGCCGGTCAGTGTTTCTGCCTCTCAGTGTTTCTGCCGCTCAGTGTTTCTGCCGCTCAGTGTTTCTGCCGCTCAGTGTTTCTGCCCCTCAGTGTTTCTGCCGCTCAGTGTTTCTGCCGCTCAGTGTTTCTGCCGCTCAGTGTTTCTGCCGCTCAGTGTTTCTGCCGCTCAGTGTTTCTGCCCCTCAGTGTTTCTGCCGCTCAGTGTTTCTGCCGCTCAGTGTTTCTGCCGCTCAGTGTTTCTTAGGGGTGGGGGAAAAAATCGATTCTTAGATGCATCGCGATGCGGACGTGGACGATTCTGAATCGATTCACAATTGTCAAAAATCGATTTTCAAAAAAAAAAAATTTTTTTTTAGATATATATTTATAATAACGTAATATTGACGGAACGCGAAAGACGGAACTCTGAAGCGCGGAAGTGCAGTGGCCGGACCGTCTGTGGCGTGCACATAACAGACGCGGACGCGATGGCTGAGCCCCAAATCCAAACACCCTCCTCGTTAAAAGCTGACGTGTGGAAATATTTTGGCTTCTGAAGTTGAAGGGGGAAAGGAGCTGGACAAGAGCCACACTAGTTGTAAGCTTTGTAGAGTAAAACTAAAATATTTCGGAAACAAGACACATGAAGCCAAATGACACGTTTCCAGCCAGAGGAGGAAAAACACTCGGCTGTATACCGGTCGTTGTTATATTATTAATTTACTACAAATATGCTGCTGCTAGTTCAGACACACATGTATTTTCCTGTTGGTTCTTTGCAATGTTAATAAAATATATTGTACGTTAATTCTTTATGGGTCATTACTTTGTACTTTTAAAGCAAAGTATTTATAGTCACACACACACAAAAAAAAGATTCTGATAATCGATTTAGCATCGAATCGCAGCCCTCTGAATCGTAATCGAATCGAATCGTGAGGTGCCTAGAGATTCCCACCCCTAGTGTTTCTGCCGCTCAGTGTTTCTGCCACTCAGTGTTTCTGCCACTCAGTGTTTCTGCCGCTCAGTGTTTCTGCCGCTCAGTGTTTCTGCCCCTCAGTGTTTCTGCCGCTCAGTGTTTCTGCCGCTCAGTGTTTCTGCCGCTCAGTGTTTCTGCCGCTCAGTGTTTCTGCCGCTCAGTGTTTCTGCCCCTCAGTGTTTCTGCCGCTCAGTGTTTCTGCCCCTCAGTGTTTCTGCCGGTCAGTGTTTCTGCCGGTCAGTGTTTCTGCCCCTCAGTGTTTCTGCCTCTCAGTGTTTCTGCCGCTCAGTGTTTCTGCCACTCAGTGTTTCTGCCGGTCAGTGTTTCTGCCGCTCAGTGTTTCTGTCTCTCAGTGTTTCTGCCGGTCAGTGTTTCTGCCGCTCAGTGTTTCTGTCTCTCAGTGTTTCTGCCACTCAGTGTTTCTGCCACTCAGTGTTTCTGCCGCTCAGTGTTTCTGCCCCTCAGTGTTTCTGTCTCTCAGTGTTTCTGCCGGTCAGTGTTTCTGCCGCTCAGTGTTTCTGCCCCTCAGTGTTTCTGCCCCTCAGTGTTTCTGCCGCTCAGTGTTTCTGCCGCTCAGTGTTTCTGCCGCTCAGTGTTGCTGCCGCTCAGTGTTTCTGCCGGTCAGTGTTTCTGCCGCTCAGTGTTTCAGTGTTTCTGCCGGTCAGTGTTTCTGCCGCTCAGTGTTTCTGCCGCTCAGTGTTTCTGCCGCTCAGTGTTTCTGCCGCTCAGTGTTTCTGCCCCTCAGTGTTTCTGCCGCTCAGTGTTTCAGTGTTTCTGCCGGTCAGTGTTTCTGCCGCTCAGTGTTTCTGCCGCTCAGTGTTTCAGTGTTTCTGCCGGTCAGTGTTTCTGCCGCACAGTGTTTCTGCCGCTCAGTGTTTCTGCCGCTCAGTGTTTCTGCCGCTCAGTGTTTCTGCCGCTCAGGCATAAAAAATAAAAAAAAAGACTGTTTCTGCCGGTCAGTGTTTCTGCCGCTCAGTGTTTCTGCCGCTCAGTGTTTCTGCCGCTCAGTGTTTCTGCCGGTCAGTGTTTCTGCCGCTCAGTGTTTCTGCCGCTCAGTGTTTCTGCCGCTCAGTGTTTCTGCCGCTCAGTGTTTCTGCCGCTCAGTGTTTCTGCCTCTGTGTTTCTGCCGCTCAGTGTTTCTGCCTCTCAGTGTTTCTGCCGCTCAGTGTTTCTGCCGCTCAGTGTTTCTGCCGCTCAGTGTTTCTGCCTCTCAGTGTTTCTGCCGCTCAGTGTTTCTGCCGCTCAGTGTTTCTGCCGCTCAGTGTTTCTGCCCCTCAGTGTTTCTGCCGCTCAGTGTTTCTGCCGCTCAGTGTTTCTGACTCTCAGTGTTTCTGCCGCTCAGTGTTTCTGCCGCTCAGTGTTTCTGCCACTCAGTGTTTCTGCCACTCAGTGTTTCTGCCGCTCAGTGTTTCTGCCGCTCAGTGTTTCTGCCGCTCAGTGTTTCTGCCCCTCAGTGTTTCTGCCCCTCAGTGTTTCTGCCCCTCAGTGTTTCTGCCCCTCAGTGTTTCTGCCGGTCAGTGTTTCTGCCGCTCAGTGTTTCTGCCACTCAGTGTTTCTGCCGGTCAGTGTTTCTGCCGCTCAGTGTTTCTGTCTCTCAGTGTTTCTGCCGGTCAGTGTTTCTGCCGCTCAGTGTTTCTGTCTCTCAGTGTTTCTGCCACTCAGTGTTTCTGCCGCTCAGTGTTTCTGCCCCTCAGTGTTTCTGTCTCTCAGTGTTTCTGCCGGTCAGTGTTTCTGCCGCTCAGTGTTTCTGCCCCTCAGTGTTTCTGCCCCTCAGTGTTTCTGTCTCTCAGTGTTTCTGCCGGTCAGTGTTTCTGCCGCTCAGTGTTTCTGCCCCTCAGTGTTTCTGCCGCTCAGTGTTTCTGCCGCTCAGTGTTTCTGCCGCTCAGTGTTGCTGCCGCTCAGTGTTTCTGCCGGTCAGTGTTTCTGCCGCTCAGTGTTTCTGCCCCTCAGTGTTGCTGCCGCTCAGTGTTTCTGCCGGTCAGTGTTTCTGCCGCTCAGTGTTTCTGCCGCTCAGTGTTTCTGCCGGTCAGTGTTTCTGCCGGTCAGTGTTTCTGCCCCTCAGTGTTGCTGCCGCTCAGTGTTTCTGCCGGTCAGTGTTTCTGCCGCTCAGTGTTTCTGCCGGTCAGTGTTTCTGCCGCTCAGTGTTGCTGCCGCTCAGTGTTTCTGCCGGTCAGTGTTTCTGCCCCTCAGTGTTGCTGCCGCTCAGTGTTTCTGCCGGTCAGTGTTTCTGCCGGTCAGTGTTTCTGCCGCTCAGTGTTGCTGCCGCTCAGTGTTTCTGCCGGTCAGTGTTTCTGCCGGTCAGTGTTTCTGCCGCTCAGTGTTGCTGCCGCTCAGTGTTTCTGCCGGTCAGTGTTTCTGCCGCTCAGTGTTTCTGCCGCTCAGTGTTTCTGCCGCTCAGTGTTGCTGCCGCTCAGTGTTTCTGCCGCTCAGTGTTTCTGCCCCTCAGTGTTTCTGCCGCTCAGTGTTTCAGTGTTTCTGCCGGTCAGTGTTTCTGCCGCTCAGTGTTTCTGCCGCTCAGTGTTTCTGCCGCTCAGTGTTTCTGCCGCTCAGTGTTTCTGCTGCTCAGTGTTTCTGCCGCTCAGTGTTTCTGCCGCTCAGTGTTTCTGCCGCTCAGGCATAAAAAATAAAAAAAAAGACTGTTTCTGCCGGTCAGTGTTTCTGCCGCTCAGTGTTTCTGCCACTCAGTGTTTCTGCCTCTGTGTTTCTGCCGGTCAGTGTTTCTGCCGCTCAGTGTTTCTGCCGCTCAGTGTTTCTGCCGCTCAGTGTTTCTGCCGCTCAGTGTTTCTGCCGCTCAGTGTTTCTGCCTCTGTGTTTCTGCCGCTCAGTGTTTCTGCCTCTCAGTGTTTCTGCCGCTCAGTGTTTCTGCCGCTCAGTGTTTCTGCCTCTCAGTGTTTCTGCCGCTCAGTGTTTCTGCCACTCAGTGTTTCAGCCGCTCAGTGTTTCTGCCCCTCAGTGTTTCTGCCCCTCAGTGTTTCTGCCCCTCAGTGTTTCTGCCGCTCAGTGTTTCTGCCCCTCAGTGTTTCTGCCACTCAGTGTTTCTGCCACTCAGTGTTTCTGCCACTCAGTGTTTCTGCCACTCAGTGTTTCTGCCACTCAGTGGGTGTACCCGCAGTCGCTCCGGTCGACGGTGACGTCACACGCATAACATCTATTCTCATGTATTTTCAAAAGCGGCTTTTTGCCATGACAGAGATGCCCTCTCACTCTCGTGTGTGTGTGTGTGTGTGATGCAGAAGGTCCGAGAGCCGCTGGTCACCGGCGCTCATGTCGTGACGGTCTCGGGTCTTCAGCCGTCCACCGTGTACAACTGTACCGTGATGAGCATCAGCTTCAGCAGCGCCAGTGACCCGGCCCACATCACCGTCAGCACGTCAGGTGAAGAACAGTTCTCCACCATCATCCTCACTGCACCCTTACAGAACTAAACATATGCGAATATACTGCAAAATATAATGCGATATATTACATAATACATTTCCATATACCCTGGACCACAAAACCAGTCACATGTCGCATGGGTGTATCTGTGGCAATAGCAACAACACATTGTATGGGTCAAAATTATCGATTTTCTTTATGCCAAAAATCATTAGGATATTGAGTAGAGATCATGTTCCATGAAGATATTATGTACATTTCCTACCGTATATATATATATATATAAAAATGTATTTTTGTGAGTGGATGCAGCAATATCGTGAACATAAATGCACAACTTTAAAGGAGATTTTTTCAATGTTTTGAATTTTTTGCACCCTCAGATTCCAGATGTTCAATAGTTGTATCTCAGCCAAATATTGTCCTATCCTAACAAACCATACATCAATCCATTAAGCTGTGTGTGTTTGCAGTGCGCGAGATGAACCCGAGTGTGGCGGCCATCTCTGCGCTGGCGGTTCTCAGTGTTCTGCTCATCAGTCTCCTGGTGCTGTTCCTGCTGGTGTTACGCAAGAAACACATGGAGCTGAGCCGGTGAGAAACTCAAACCAGCGTAACCAGCATAACCAGCGTAACCACTGACCGACTCGCGTCAGCACGATCACTTCTGCCGTCTGCGGTTCATCAGCTGATGCAGAACGTGTCATGAAGTTTCATTATTAGCTGTGTCTACATGCAGCCGAATAACTGATGGACTCTAAACTCCACAGTCTATATACATGTGCATATATAACTATCAGCACTGAGGAGTTACTTACACACTGTAATCAGTTACTGATTCCAAATTACATTACAAAAAAATTAATTTTAATATAGTGTGTGTATATATATATATATATATATATATATATATATATATAAAAAAGTAAGATATATAACTATATAAACTATATTATATACAGTATACAAAGTTGAATATATAACTATATATGAACTATTTAATATATATATATATAAAGTTGAATATATAACCATATATACACTCACCGGCCACTTTATTAGGTACACCTGTCCAACTGCTCGTTAACACTTAATTTCTAAGCAGCCAATCACATGTCGGCAACTCAGTGCATTTAGGCATGTAGACATGGTCAAGACAATCTCCTGCAGTTCAAACCGAGCATCAGTATGGGGAAGAAAGGTGATTTGAGTGACTTTGAACGTGGCATGATTGTTGGTGCCAGAAGGGCTGGTCTGAGTATTTCAGAAACTGCTAATCTACTGGGATTTTCACGCACAACCATCTCTAGGGTTTACAGAGAATGGTCCGAAAAAGAAAAAACATCCAGTGAGCGGCAGTTCTGTGGGCGGAAATGCCGTGTTGATGCCAGAGGTCAGAGGAGAATGGCCAGACTGGTTCGAGCTGATAGAAGGGCAACAGTGACTGAAATAACCACTCGTTACAACCGAGGTATGCAGCAAAGCATTTGTGAAGCCACAACACCCACAACCTTGAGGCGGATGGGCTACAACAGCAGAAGACTCCACCGGGTACCACTCATCTCCACTACAAATAGGAAAAAGAGGCTACAATTTGCAAGAGCTCACCAAAATTGAACAGTTGAAGACTGGAAAAATGTTGCCTGGTCTGATGAGTCTCGATTTCTGTTGAGACATTCAGATGTTAGAGTCAGAATTTGGCGTAAACAGAATGAGAACATGGAACCATCGTGCCTTGTTACCACTGTGCAGGCTGGTGGTGGTGGTGTAATGGTGTGGGGGATGTTTTCCTAGCACACTTTAGGCCCCTTAGTGCCAATTGGGCATCGTTTAAATGCCACGGCCTACCTGAGCATTGTTTCTGACCATGTCCATCCCTTTATGGCCACCATGTACCCATCATCTGATGGCTACTTCCACCATGTCACAAAGCTCTAATCATTTCAAATTGGTTTCTTGAACATGACAATGAGTTCACTGTACTAAAATGGCCTCCACAGTCACCAGATCTCAACCCAATAGAGCATCTTTGGGATGTGGTGGAACGGGAGATTCGCATCATGGATGTGCAGCCGACAAATCTGCGGCAACTGTGTGATGCCATCATGTCAATATGGACCAAACTCCCTGAGGAATGCTTCCAGCACCTTGTTGAATCTATGCCACGAAGAATTAAGGCAGTTCTGAAGGCAAAAGGGGGTCCAACCCGTTACTAGCATGGGGTACCTAATAAAGTGGCCGGTGAGTGTATATATATATATATATATATATATATATATATATATATATATATATACAATTGAATGTATAACTATATGTAAACTATATTATATATATATATATATACATAAAGTTGGATATATAAACTATATATATATATATATATATATATATATATATATATATATATAATTTTGAATATATAACTATATAAAACTATTATAAATATATATATATATTAGGGCTGGGCAAGTTAACGCGTTATTATCGCGTTTTAATATTTGATTTGATTACATTAATGTTTAAGTTGAGATTTACAATAAATATTTTATTGCTACTGTGTAAAGGGAATACTGCTGGTATAAAGCACCTTATTTGTTTAAAGTTTTTGCAAACCACATGTTATTGCACTTTTGTGTACATAGCAGTACATTTAAATTAAAAGTGCGCAATACACTACTTTAGAATTCATTATTCACTCTTGCGCGTAACAATGCGATTAATCGCAATAAATTCATGCGATTAATCGCGATTAAAAAAAATTTAATCGTTGCCCAGCACTAATATATATATATATTAGGGATGCACGATATAGGATTTTGGCCGATATTCGATATGCCGATATTTTCAAACTAATTTTGCCCGATGCCGATACCGATATCGATATATTTGTATTTTTTTTAAGTGCAAAAAAAGCTTATTAAAGCTTCTATTAATGTTCTCAGTCAAGAGCAGTGAGTGATTTCCTCTGTGTTTTGTTGTTTTATTAACATTAACGGGATAGTTCTCCCAAAAATTAAATTGTCATCATTTACTCTCTCAAGTTTCTTTCTTCTGTTGAAATTATAAAAGTTATTTGGAAGAATGTGGCTAATCAAACAGTTGCTGTACTCCAGTGACTTCCATAGTATATTTAAGCACAAGAAAGAAATGAATCCAGGTTTGAAACAACATTAGATAGACAGAATTTTTATTTCTGGGTGCAGTATCTCTTTAAAGACAAGCGGCAGAATATTATTACTGTCTCTTTAAGAACTGCACGCCAGTAACGCGACGCGTCTAATATACACGCATTTGACAAGCAGATTTTCTCTGTTTGCTTTCACTTTAGACATAACCAACTTTGTTTATGTAAACCTTGTGTGTATTTGACAGTATCAGCGCAATAAGACTCGAAAGATTAGTCCAGTATGCAGGCGCTGTGACAGGCTTTTAGTTCCTGTGAGCGTCGCGTCTACGCGCTCAGAAAAGCGGATGTTAGAACAGCGCATCAGCACGTGAATGACATGTTTACCTAGCAAGACTTTGACGCACATGCAAACAATGAACTTTTGTGAATTGCAGTGTCCCGTGAGTGTAACTCTACCTCTCCGTTTACATGTGATGTGAATGTACGTCGCGTTGTACAGTATGTTGAGATGAAGGCGCCAGAATTGAACTGATAGAATGCACGATACTATGATTTTTCTTCAAAAGCAGATCGTGGAGACATTTTAATCATCCACGATCAAAAACCGTGAGACGCCACCCCTAGTTGGAAGTTTAAGTTGCTGGCGCTCATGCTTCGTTCACGGTCGTCACGTGCGCATAGGAAACACGCCACCCTATCGGCAAGACTCATCGGCAGAAATATTCATATCGGCCGATGCCGATGATGGTCATTTTAAGCTTTTATCGGCCGATACCGATGTTGTCCCGATATCATCGTGCATCCCTAATATATATATACACTCACCTAAAGGATTATAGGAACACCATACTAATACTGTGTTTGACCCCCTTTCGCCTTCAGAACTGCCTTAATTCTACGTGGCATTGATTCAACAAGGTGCTGAAAGCATTCTTTAGAAATGTTGGCCCATATTGATAGGATAGCATCTTGCAGTTGATGGAGATTTGTGGGATGCACATCCAGGGCACGAAGCTCCCTGTAGGAGCCAAATGTGTGTGTATCTTTTATTTGGGCCACTAGATGGTGCTGTAGGCTCATATATATATTTATATGTGAGGGGTCAACAGGTAGCAGGGAGGTGTTGACCCCGGAAGGGCAAACAAGTTTTTGACCGCTACGGCGGTGTTTGATGAACACTGTTGTCGTGTTAAGTTCTGGGAATCTTCGTGCTTGTGGACCTTGTGTGCTGTGCATCTGTATGGAGGACAATAAAAATGGTAATATTGCAACGAAGACGATGCCTCTGGATCTAATTTACACGTAACAACAGGTTCAACATTAGCTGCCTGGCGTGTCATAACAAGTAGCTACGGGACAACAACTCTAGCACAGTATTAGACTGGCTATTATACTGTCAAAAACTTGCCCTTTTTGGAATTCGTTTGAACGGAGCGGCAAAGACGTCGTTGGACGACAGTGTGGCACAATGGGAGGTGTCTGCTAGCTGGGCTAGCGCTACTGAGCTGTGGATCGCGGCAGCCGAGGAGCCGACCGGGGCGGTGGAGCAGCGCAGCCGGAGGAGCTGGAGCACCACGGAGACTCTTCACGTGTCAGGTTGGACGACGGGGAATTACAGTAAAGGTGCCCTACGAGGTATGTGTAGCGCTACACCTTTTGATGGCCATTTGTGTGCACACATTAAATCCAAAGCATTGGTATTTGCGATTTGCGGCGTTTGGAAGGTAAATTTGAGTGTTGCCCTTTTTCGTTGAGGCACATAAGTGACTTGGCGTTGCGCTGACTTCAAGTGAACTCTCATTGCGATGCACGTTACTGACTGTCTATGCGTAATGGAATCACGCACTGTGGAAATGGAGAACAATACTGAGACTGAACAGATGGCGTGTGCGGGGGAAACTCAAAAACGCACTGTTAAGTTAACAGAAAAGGCCTTGATCGAAAAAATTTATAAATTGCAAAACGAACGAAGGTTAAAATTGGTAACATAAGATGTGAGATTCATGAGTTAATGTCTAAAGGTGATAACTCTAATGTATTATGTACGGTTGATGTGTTAAAAGGGGCGTGTGATGATGCCAAATAGTCCTTGTTGGAGTTATTGCCATGTGATGAAAAAGAAAAGCATGAAATATGGTTTAAAGCCAAAATGATTCCCAATAATGAGTGTGTTTGTAGTGTGAATAAGTGGCTCTCTCAAACTGAAACAAACAAAAATGATGATCGTATTGATGATGATATAAGTCCTCACGACAGTGTGTCAAATGTTGGCAGTAGACAGTCACAAAAAAGTGTTAAATCCAGCACCATTTCATCTGCTAAGCTGAAAGCAGCAGCTAAATGGGCCTCAGTATTGGCACATTGGAAAGCCATGGAAGAAAGACATGCTATAGAAGAAGAGGAGGAGAAGCTGAGAAGAAGAAAGGAGCTGCTTGCACTGAAGACCGAGATGGCAGAATGTGAT